GTGTTTTGCATATTGCGTCGTCGCGCCGCCGGGGTGAGGTCGTTCCACAAAGCAAATAGCCGAGGTAACGGGGTTTGTGACAATGTGTTCGCAGCGGATCATGCATGGCGGCGTGATACGGCGTGCAGAAAACTTTAAAAATGACAATAATAAAGAATACTTGCGTCGCGTGCGGCGTTAGGAAAGGGGAGGGTGGGGGGAATACAGTCAGGATCCACACATGATATAGGTAAGGGGTCGTTGAACAAAGTGCTGACGCTTACGGCCCCCGGCCAGTCGCAGTGACAGATGATCTGGGTCACGCTCGTCGCGGGGCGGGGCGGGGCGGCCACACGACGCACGGCGGTGCACCTCTCCAAACGGACGCGCTGCCCGGCCGGATATTGCCGCGCCAGAAGAGAGACAACTTTCAGAAAGATTTATTTTCCTTTCCGTTTATTTGGGGATTGTTTGCGTGGTCGGCGGTGCTGCGGCCTGGCCCTCGCACGTGTCCCTCGCGACCGTGAGGTGAGAGTAGTATGCACGCGCCGCGCTTCGGCAGTCCGTGTTATTCGTACAATTAGTTTGTTTTTTTGGTACTCCCCGCACCGCACGCATGAACTATTCTTAGACCTGCAAAAACAGCGTAGTTTTTGCCGTGTGCGCGGATCTAAAATGGCGTATGGCAGCAGACAGACCAGACTGAGGTTGCGTAGCCGGACCGTCAGCAGGTTTGTTTGTGGAGAGCGCGAAGTTTGAGCCCGGCGGCGGCAGACTCGTCGGCAAAAGTCCCCCTCCCCCCCCCCTCCACTCTCCCACCTCTGCCCCAACGTTTCCCAGTCGAGTGTCGCTGAGCCTCATTAGGGGGGACGCGCCGCAGCCGCACAGAGAATATCGCCTCATTAACCCGATATTTTCGTGATTTGTTTCTGTTCTTTTTATTTCAAACGGAGGCATTTTCCCCCTCTTTGCTCAGCTCAGGGACCGAGACCGTGAATAAAGAACGTAAACTCAGCGGTACTATTTTTTTTTAATGTCTACATAAATTTGTATTCCCCGCCAACCCGTCTCCTTCTCTACCCATCATTTCATATCGGACCATACCCTGGAAACGCAAGTGTGTGTGAATGCGTATTCGCACACTAAAATTTCAGCCTCAGACCTTCGTCTGAATAAACACTCTGAATTTTCGCAATTGTATGAGGACCCCATTCAGACAGCAAAAGTCTGCAAAAGTTAGTCTGAATTTTCAGGTTGTTTTTTTAACAGTGCAGACACCGTGAGGAGGCAAAGTTGGTGGTACTGATTATGCGGCCACCAATGGCGC